AGTTTCTTACGCCGGTTCTTCTCAGGTCAGTGGCTTACCTTCCGAACCGGTGGTAGAGTTTTTTGAATATCAATAAGTAAGTGAATGCTTCTATATTGAATAAAGATATTTGACTTCGACTTTGACTTTGTTATTTAATTTAACTAATTGGTGGTATCAATCAAGAAATGCTTAAAGTTGTTAAATTGATGCAAACATGGTACCCATGCAGCCCGTAGCGCTCAGCCCGTCAATCATCATTCATGTTTAGCGTAACTGTAAAATTATGCAATTTCTTACTACAGCTGCAATCGGATCATTATTATCGATAACGTACTTATTTTCGAACATTTATCAATATGGAAGACTTTTTTTTTTTGGGCTGGATGACCCACTGTTGGCCTTAGGGGCCTTTGCAGTTCCGACGGGCTTAAGGTGAACCTCGGCTGTAGTTAACTAAGCGGGTTCGATTACCATAGGGGGCAAGTATTTGTGAGACCCAAAGATAATTGTGTCGGATCTGGGTGTTTGATCCCAAGGAGGGTTTATTAACCTACAAATGTATTACTTTCCACTATAAAAGAGTATTTAAATTTTATAAAACATTACCATAATAAAACCGAACGATATAGTAAGAGCGCTTCTTTGTAAGCGGTAATTTCAAGAACGAAAAACTTACAAAAATTAAAAACCGATGTGGGAACTTTAAAATTAAGTTATTAAATTGCAGAACCAAGGTTAAACCTTAACCGACCAGGCTTAGTTCATGATCACGCGGACATTCGTACCGTAGAATTATTTGCTAATCTCTACCTTCTAGCGATTTTTTGATCACACGTTGGTAAAACCCAATAATACTGGCAGTAAAATCTGCTTATTCTATCTATTTGTCCTTTTTAATTCATTAAAATGTATTTTTTTGTTCCAGGTATAGTGTTATTTTAACGATCGCGACAACAGCTTCCGACGGATTCACCTTGATTAACGGTGAGTGAAAGTTAAACTGTATATTTCATGTCATTTTCACCAAATCCTGAGTATAATTTACTTTGATAAAGTCACAGTGTAGTTGCAAATATATACTACATAATATATACTACATAATATGTACTATGTACATAAGCGCCATGTATATTATGTCCGTATGTATGTACATTGCTTTGATTTATTTCCCAGTTTTGTTAAGGAAATGCTGAACTCTGTAACCTTGCAATAATTTTATAAGACCTTCTTCATAAAATAAGATAATTTATAGTTTTAAAAACTCAATCGCAGGTTGCGACTCATCTACATAATTTTAGCAATGCTCTGAGTCTGAAGGGTCGTGGTCCCAGATTTTTCTCTTTGATATTCAATATTAAAACTCATTCCGCAACCGACCGCAGCCGCTACCATGCCGAAATGCTAAATTGTTTTAAAAATTTAAGACCTGTTAAGGAACCAGTTGCACAGGGCGAATTGGTACAAGTCACTTTGCTCAATCCTGACTGGTTTTGAAAAATCGTTTCAATAAGTTTTAGCGATACTTATTGATAAATAGGGGTATACTTTTTATATAAAACAAATTAGCGTCCCCGATATAATTTGCGTTATTTCCCTGTTGAAAATACAAACAAGCTGGTGGTCTCTCTCGTTAATTGTTAATTTCAGATTCATGAAAAGCAATAGTATACCTCTTTGTACTTTACTCCTTCTTCCGTACGGCCCTGGTATCTCGATAAAGCGGACTCTTTCATGATACAAGCTACTGCCTGACCCTAATATGATATAATCATTTACCCTATTATAAATAGATATAATTAATTCCTAAGACAGGAATAACTCATGGATGAACCCTTCGTAATATTAACTGCCTATAACCATACTGTGTAGTAGCTTTTGGTACACCTGTGCCTGGGCGTTATCTTTTAAGTGTTCCTCGAGCAATCTGAGTTCAAAAACTGACCGAACCAATGAAGCTGTTAAATAAAACCTCGTAAAAATCCTATATATGTATATATTATATACGGATGTATATAATATATATGGATGTATATAAAATCTGCCAATAAAAATGTAGTTGTATGGCGAACTTAATTTTAATATCCTTTATCCAAAGAAGGCAAAGCGTCTTCTATCTAAAGGACTCATATACCCTATACCCGGAGATGGGCATTATATATTATATAAAATAGCTGTGAGTTTTCTTCTGATGTGTTATTAGAACTTCACCTGAAAACCACCAACAAATTTCAGCTAAAACAGTAACGTTTAATTTAACAAAAAATTGTATTTACTCTCGATAATTGATTCATAATGAGTGATTACGACGACGTTTATTGTTTTATATCTTATACATGTATTTATACAGCTGCACATGCACATACTTTTCTTGTAACAGTGTATCTTCTCGTCTAAATTTGTCCTTTATAGTATATGTACTATGTTGACGTCCATTAGTTACAATAGTTTAGACGTCTCAATTAACATAAACAAAAAAATATAATAATTATAAACATGTCACATAAATATAAATATTTATAAGTAAACATTCAAGTTGCATACTTAAATTAATTTTGGAAACAATTTTCTCTAGAGATTTTGCTAGTAGTTTCTGTATGTAAAAATAAATATTAAACGTGATAAAAGAAGTGGTAAAACAAATATATTAGACGGTTCTATACGCGTGCCAATTAACATTATCATTATGAAAGTCTGGAAGACTTTTATGATCACCGTAGATGGTTTCATCATACCAATAGATTACGCTATAGAAGCTCATCCCAGTTTTCACGTAATATAAACGCCTAATTTCAGGCTTCTTAAAGCAATTAGATAAAGAAGGATTAACTTACTGCCGTCCATTTTAATGGTTTCTGTGACTGTACAGGTACCAGGGTGCATGGTGCCAATCACATAATCATTCTTTTAATAAGCACTTAAAAGATTATGTACAACGTACAAATGTGCGGTCCCAAGTCACAAGACTTTTACTAGAAATTATTAAATGTCAACACCTATCACTACTGTATTCTTGCTGGAAAGTCATAATAAGTCTAGAAAAAAAACTACATAAAAATGTCAGTCTGATGGAATTTACGTTTTATTTCAATGAGAACCAATGTAAAAACAATGAAAAATATACATACATACGGTCACGGAAAAAATCTAACGTCTTTATATCAATGGCATTGTTACCAACGAAGATAATTAAGGAGAAACACAAAGATAGATGATAGTCAGGACCCAAACTAATAAAACTCAATGACGCGACGTCTACATTTTGAAGTGTTAATTTATTTTATAAAATAATGCCTATTGTTACCTACGTATAAATTGGCACAATTCGGCATAAAATTCGTGTTATTAAGTGGAATTTTACTTTATTAATAAACAATAGTCACTGGAGCATTTGTTAGAAAACTTCCTTAGCTGGACTTTCCTTCATCGAGCACCCGTCTCAAGGAGTTTTAACTGCCGCAGGTTTAATACTACATCGCAATAAAGTTTTTTTCTAAACCTCTATAAAACGTTTTGAAACAAATTTTATAGTACTTTTATTGAAGAAATAAGATACCGATGTGTTACTTTATTGCAGGTATAAATATGTTAAGATACCTACTGTTTACAAAGTGTTACAAATTGTGGGAAATCATTAGCGGATATTCCAAGATTAATTTTAGACTAAAACATATGCTGTCAATTGTACAAGGACCTACAATACTTTATCCTTATACAATAATATATCTTAGAGTACAATATTCAATTATAAACTACTGCACTATTTATTTGATCTTATTTCATATATAAAAAAAGACTGTCCAGTTCTTCCTTAAGTTAGAAATTATACCAAACTTAGCTCAGATAGTTTAGTATTAAAAAAAATGTTGTTTTTTTTTTTGGAAATTTAAACAATACTTGGGAATCGCGCAGCCGTATTCTCACATGCTATGCCGCAACCCGAATTGTTAGCGAGGACGGTACAAGGGCGGCGAATGTCAGCGGGTCGATTCACTCACACTTTACTTGCTTAATTGCTAACTAATCATACAGAATAGGTCTTCGAACTTCGTCCTTTTCAGACTACACGTCGTTCTGATACTCTTATTTAGCATGTTACATTAGGACTTAACCTTTTATAAGGCTGATCAATTATCGGGCAAGCCTATTAATACCATGAGCATCTTTTCTTTGGTACTTATAAATACTCAAATAATTTAATGAAAAATTAAACAGTAACGTAACATATGAATGTTACCATTTCTGTATCATGTTTTTAATTTAAATTCCGTTTGCTTAATTTTTACTTTTCAGTTTTCTTATATAAATTGAGAATTATTATAAAATATCGCAATTGATAGAAGTCAACATAGCAAATGCATAATGAACAGTTTTAGAGAAATATACATTTTTACAACAAAATTTTTCGTTTCACTAAAAAGATAGATAATTTAACATAGACAATAAACGTCAATTAGCATGTCTGTAACTGCCTATTTTTAATCTGTATACTCTGTAGTAAATTTAAGAGAATTAGACGTTAACAGTGTAAATGGCAAAAACTTCCAAGAACAGATTCATCTTAATTATAATATTATTCACGCTTGTTAACTATCACACAGAACTTCTATAAAACTGTATATATTCAAAGAAGCGATTAAGTCACACGTAACAGCTCTATTAACACTGATAATGTAAAGTGACAAACATTATTTCTTATACAATTATGTGTTTTTCAGACCAAAGTTATGATTAATTTACAAGCAATTCTTCTTGTTTAAAAGATCGCATAGATAAACATTGATTGCACGGACGGTGTGACGTTGAACGGCTGTACCATTTTGCGCGTAACGTTTAGGTTTAATCCCCTCAGTGTACAACAATTTAATTGCTCTATAAATAGTTTCTTGACTGTGTGTAGTATGTTCTTATCATCGTGTTCGTTACACACTTTTATTCCCTAGTGCGATTATATATTTTTTTGTGTATACTTTTATATGTATTAAAAAGGAAAATAATTTGTGCTCGTGATTCTGCAGACTATGCAGACTCGGACAGTTAGTCAATTTGCGCGATCGGCGGGGACATTTTTCACGCGTGCGTTCGGGGTCGGGGGGCCGCGGGGGGCTGGCGCGGAGGCGTCAAGGTCACCGGTGACGTCACCCGGCGAACAACGACCTCCCGAAATCGAGGCGGACACCGCTCGCACCGATTGTGTCGAGGTGCTGGTGACACCCGCCGACTTTTGTTGACACTTTACGATCGTGTTTTCAATAGATGCAGGGTGGCATTCTGCCGTTTGCTCCGGAGGATGGGCAACGATTCTAAAGCTTTGGAGAGTTCGCATTTTTATTTGTTCTCGTTTTGTTGTTTAATGATCACTTGGTTTTATGCAAAAAACTATGTACTCATCTTAGATGCTGTTTGAAACGTTTGAAATGTGAAAGCAAATTAAAGTTAAAATTGTAGAAGTTGATTTGAATTTTTCATATCTACTTTCAATGCTTTCTAAATTCAAAGAATTTTTAATCTTTTAGAATATGAGCTCTTTATTTTTAGAGGCTGGCTGTTCTTAGAAAAAATAATGAATGACATAATTATCTGACAGTATTAATATTAGGCAGCTAGTCAATCTCAGATTCCGCCTTATCCATCAAATTTAACTCAAGTGCTAGTGTTAACTGACACTAATGTTAATTATTGGTTAACTGCTAGATATTAACTTAATAACGTATAAATATCGAAGGGGCCATTAGAACAGTCTAACATGTTCATTCATGGGACTCCAAATTTGTTTGCTCTCTGATAATGACTGAATATAACGCTAAATGCTTAAAGGTAGCCCTATTGCTAAATTAGCCATCAGGTTGCTGTATTTTTTAAATGATTCACACTAAGATTTCTTTTATATTTTCCCTATTTAACTTATCGGAATGTCAAATCGGTCAAGTCGACAAAAAGCGACCTTAAAATGAAATAATCAAACACCATTGGTTTGTCTTTCTAATTCGTCCATCTAAATCAAATAATCACAGTAGCCGAATAAAAAATATTGCATTCCTGTATCGAAATCATATCAATTTGTTATTATAATTGACTCGGCGCCAATAAAATTATTGACGAATAATTTATTAAAACTCTGATTAATTAAGGTAATGGCTTTTTTCTTTGTGAAATACGTTCCAAAAGCCGTAATAAATGGAGGTTGCTGGTAATAACAGGACCGAATACAATTTTTGTTTTACGTACATAGCGTAATCACTTAAATTCGTTTTAGCGATTACAATATGTACGTTAAATAAAATAATATGACATTTGGCTTATAGATTTCGGTGCACGATGCTGACCACAGCTTTTTGCTGACTTAAACATTCGTTAATATGATAAAGACATAGATGTAATGATTTCATGTACCTTCGCAAATATTACTACTAATACCTACTATCGCAACACATTGAGAAAGCCGTTTATAGTCTTTTGTTTGACAATAGAAATGTTTGAAACATCGTAAATTTAGAAACAAACTTAACGTGATTATGTATCGTTGTAAATAAACCGTGACGTATATGTTTTATTTACAAGCGAAGAAAGTCTAGGAAAATAGTGAAATGTTGAAAGAAATTTTATCTCTGCCGTCTTTTTAATAAGAGAAAATTTACGTATGTATGCGTATATGTACTTCAGTCTTCAGTAACGAATTTATCAATCTAAAATTACTCAATAATGTTTATACCCAACTGTTACTCTATGTAGCCAAGATATTGAGTATTTTTAATCATCACCAGTTATTTTGAATCTGTATTGTTTTTATACAGCGAATAAATTATTGATGCGGCCGGATCGTTTGAAATGTGAAAAAGAGACACGGCGCGTTGAAAACTTATATTGCCGGTTAGCGCTGACATTACTAATTTAACGGCCGTTACTGTCGCATTCCATCAGGTCATGTGCGGAGTTGGCGTTGCGCATTAGAACAAGCGGTAAGGTAAACAAACAAAATCGCTATCGAGGCCGCAACCAGAATGAATCGACAACCTTTCTTATATTATAAACGCGAAAGTTTGTATGTATGGATGGATGCATGTTACTCTTTCACGTAAATACTACTGAATAGATTCAAATGAAACTTTACAATAAAATAGCTTATACAATCAACACATAGGCTATAATTTATATACATGTTCTATGTATATCATCTGTCTTTCTGACTGAATGTTACGCCTTCAGCCTATTCTACGGAGACGTAGTCGCAGGCAGCAGCTAGTACGTTCATTTTCTGTGTATATATTTTCAAATAACTTACATTTATTTGATTTGTTTGATTGTCGATACGTTAAGATTCGTTAAGATTGCCTAGTTATAATATATTGAAAAGCGAAATAAAAAGATACGCATGTTAAATTTGAAACAAAATATTGGTACCCTCTTAATGAAAATAAGGAGATGCCAATATTTTGTCGTCATTGTAGAATTGTTAACTTAAAAAAGGATTTTTTAATTCTACAATTATAATATTATGATCTACTGTATGATGAACTTTTGATTAAGCGATTATAGAAATGAGACTAGATTGTTCCATTACGTGTTGTTACTACTTTTAAATGTTTTAAACATCAGTAATTTTAATTTTCATTCGCTTGTCCGTTATCAATGTGAGTCTAACAATACCATGTTTAAGCTATTCCCATCGCTCGACTTCTGCACGTCTTCTAGCACTCATTCAGTGTAACAAAAACAGTAACAATTAATTACGATACAACAATTAATTAAAAGCGAAGGCGTGTTATTCGATACTTAGTTAGCCCTGCTCTGCCTTCGCCATTCGAGTGTTTAATGTTGTAAATAGGCTATAAATACTGGAAGCCGGGACCAAAGGGCGTATGTGCTGAACAGTCGCGATGCTTTAACGCTGTTGCGACACGATGACGTACAAAACAAATCGTTATGTACGTCACGTAAGAAGCTTTTGATGCGATCGAAACAGCCATTCCACCGCGTCACGCCATTTTGTTTAATTTATAGAGAGCTACTTTAGCGGTTTTGGAATTGACATTCAGACACAATTAAAAGGATCCTAGTTTTAAAGGAAGTTTATTTAAAGCTTGTCGCTAAAGCTGTACGCTACCTGTATTAACTGCATTATTTAAAACAGGGTCTAATTTATGTATATATATATCTATATTATATTATGTATATATATATCTATATAAATCTAAGTTTGAATCAAGCTACATTAACGAAAATGTGATCTCGATTAAAATCATTTAATTGTCCAATTATAGACAATAAATACTGTATCGTCTTCACCATTTTATTACCTATACACGACTGCCTGTACGTAGTGTTGTTAAAATGCAAAGTTTAAGTGCTCTCTAAATATATTCAACAGGATGCAGAATAGCACACGCTCCGACGCTCGCCAGGATTTTATTACTCGAAGGTACATTGACTGACGGGGAAATTGCGAGTTTGATTTGAACACATTGCATGGCTCTGTGAAATTCCATTGTTTGTAATATAATAAAATGCGAATATATTTTTTCCCGCGTATAAATGTCGTTTGAGTTTTAAATGTTTGTCCATTCGCTTGCGGCGTAACAAAAGAAAAACGCGCAATACTCTGTCGCGTAGTAAATATAAGATTATCTTGAAGACTTGTTGATATTTCCACAGTAAAAAAATATATATATGGTATGTATGGTATTGTTGCCAATTTAAAAGCATGTGTTATAGAAAATTTCACGTATAATGGAAAATTTTGTCATAAAAGTTTCTTCCTTTTTTTCGCTTTTTCCTTAACAGTGTAGCGTCTCAAATGACTTAGCTCAGATTTACCTATAAAGTTGATAGATTTTACCTTTTTAATATATTGTTCGATACATTTTCACATGCCTTTGCTATTAGCAAGAATTGAAATATAGCCATACCTGCTACTTTTTATCTAAATTCACGTTAATGATTTTTTTTTATATTAGAAAATTGAGATTTTGCATCCTGGCAGCCCCGATAAAAATTTCGACGGCTTATCTAATGAACTCATATTTAAATCAAATAGTGCTTTGACACAGCGGATAGAAGATATTCACATTTTATATTTTTGACGTACACGCCATTCAACGTAACGAAAATAAGTTAACCAGGGAACGCCATGCGCCTATAACTATTATTAATTATTCCCCGACCCTATTTTTATCGTTAATCCGCACAATGGATGGGTCGGGATAGGACATTATTGTCACGGCTCAATGGGCCACCACCTGCGGGCTAAATAGCATAGGCCATGTGTTTAAGAGGATATCGGGTATGCGGGAGGTGTCTGGTTAATCTGACAGTTGACGTCGCGAATATTGATGCGCCATAAATCATATATGTCTGCCCCCATCGCTCGTTTATGACGAATGTTTTATAGCTTCTTTCATTCCGTCGCCATGGGTAGCAGCCGCTAAGAATTCGGATGCACGTGGCAAGTTGCTACTCGATTGACTTTGGACCATTTGAAGGATGAAATTTTTATTAACATATATAAATTACCAACTTGCCAAATTTGTTCTCAAACATCAATTGGAAAAATAGCTGTACCTTTCAACTGTATCATCTCTTATTGTAATCTAATTTATATTAATACTCATATTTAATCTCTAAATATATTTAGAGTAGATTCTGCAGTAGATCTCTTTTCCGTTCCTTATTTTTCCCGGTTGCCGGTTTCATGGCATCGCCACATTGTCATGTAAAGATTGATATTATCTAATAACGCGCTCAAATTTCGATTTATCAGTTTGTCCGCGCGATTTGTTACTGATTTCCTCTTTTTATGCAAAAAGTTTGCAAACGAGCAGCCGGTACACCTGAAGTTAAGTGTTTACATCCGCCAATGGTCATCTCCAGCACCTGAAAGGTTGTAGTGTAGTGTAGAAAAGTCGTCAATCTTTAAAAAAGTGTGTCCCGGTTCACTCACTCGCCAGACGAAATTATAAATCCATCACTTCCACTTCATGCCGGTCTTCTGTGAGGCCGTGGTACTGCTCCGGACGAGCCTGCTCATTCGTGCAAAAGCCGTAGCTGCCGCGTGGACTTCAAAAATAAACAGTAAAAGAGAACTAGCTTCAAAACCGATTTCGTACAATTCCCTGCCGATTATAGCACAACTTCTCTTCATTGTCAATTTCATTCGTCGTATAAAATATCAGCCTATACATGTCCCACTGCTGGGCAAAGGCCTCTTCTGTACAGAGAGTATCAGGGCATA